CAACTTGTTGTATTTTTCCACAGGAATCCTTTCCTTCCTCAAGAATACCATAACTTCATCACCAACGTCAAATACTTGGGCCCGACGATGTTTGTCTGCTGCTAACTTGTACCTGGCGTTGGTTTGCTCTAGTTTTTGCTTCACGACTTCTTGGATGGATTGGATCTGGTCCGCCATTTGTTTTGCAGATGCACCGACACCGGGGACTCTAGGTAGCTTCACTAAATCCAAAGCATGATTAGGAACCTTCATATACACGATGGAGAATGGGGATCTACCTGTAGAACTGTGCACTGCATTATTATAGGCGAACTCAGCCTGAGTTATGGCGAAATCCCACTGTTTTGGCCTCTCCCGACATATACTACGAATTAAATTACCCAGGGTCCGGTTTACCACTTCTGTCTATCCGTTTGTCTGTGGATGGGCTGTGCTGCTGAAATTTAGTGATGAGTCAAATAACCTCCACAGGGTCATCCAAAAGTGACTTAGGAACCTTGTGTCACGATCTGATGTGATGGTCTTGGGTACCCCATGTAAACGAACAATCTCCCTGAAAAATAATTTGGCTGTTACTGATACATCTGCTGTTTTCTTGCATGGGAGGAAGTGAACCATTTTTGAGAACCTGTCAACCACCACAAAGACGGAGTCCATGTTCCTTTGGGTTTTTGGCAAGCCTAGCATAAAATCCATGAACAAGTCTTCCCAAATAGCAGTAGGAACGTGTAGGGGCATGTAGAGACCATTATTTTGTGTTTATCCCTTAGCTATCTGACAAATATAACATCTGCTTACAATAGTGGACACATCCCTTCTTACCTTCGGCCAGTAGTAACGCCTTTTAACTGCTTCAATTGTCTTATCCCTTCCCAGGTGTCCCGCTAATCCACCCCCATGTAGATCCTTGATGATCTTTTTGCGGAGGGAAGTGCAAGGGATGCATAGTTGTTCCCCTTTCATAAAATCCTTTCTTGACTTATCTTAGACTCTTATCCTCATCCTATGAGCTGCCGCCCCTAATGGTGAGATGGGCCTCCATCAGACTAGGAGTAATTCTGTCATCAACATAAAAAATTTGTGAATGCACGAACTTACAAGTAACCACTTTGGGCTTATTGGCAGTTGCTGAGGAGTCTTTAACTATGACGTGGTGTAACCGTTCATGACCACCATAGTAATACGAACTCCGATCTCTGGTGATGAAATTGCTGGTGTCTTCGCCGGCGACAATTCTGAAGTCTACAATAATGTATCTGATGAAGGGTGCTCTTCCGCAGCAGGTGCCTCCTGAGAAGCACGGGATGTAGATGACATTCGTACAGAAAGAGGCGTCCTAATGTCTGTTGTAATACGATCATTCACCAACGCTTGAAATTTTTTCTTTATAGCAGCATCCGAACAAGAGTCTATAGCCACGTTCAATTTATGACGAATATGACAAGCTGTAGCTTCGTGCCCAATCCTTGCACAAAAAGAACAAAAATGGGGAAGACATTCATATTGAACAACAAATATAAAAAATAAATCATCCTCGTGCTTTTGGAAGCTCAGCCTTGCAATTTGCCACCTTGACCTAAATACAACACACCTTGATCCACTAATGCTTTTGGAAATTCAAAATCATTATATTCCTACTGGGAAATTGAAAAAAAAAAAAGAAACCCAAAGGTGATAAAACAAAAAATACAAAAAATGATATAAATTCACAATTCCCGATTCCCGATTCCAACCAAGAATTAAAATTTCAAAAAAAGAAGGGAATGATAAAATGAAAAATATACAATATTACATGAAATACATAAACATAAAAATATTCAAAATAATTATTTTTTGACATGGAAATTGTAAAAAGAAAAAGAAAAAGAAACAAAAAGGGTACAAGTTGCATAAGAAATAAGTGTCATGGTGCCAATACAATTTCTCATGTGGGCATAAGCAAGGAACACTAACTACAAATTCATCCATTATTTAATGAAGAGTACTAAACTCTACATGGCATCAAACTACACTATTCGATTTTTGTTTCTAACTCACTTGTTTGGTTGTATTAAATTGTTTGTACTTCTCTTTTATTTGTTTGTTGTCTTTGCAGCATTCATGGAGGATACTAACAGTGAAGTTGTATTTAGCATAAGTTTTAAACAAGTTTTATATGACTTGTCCCACTATCTTAAACTACCCCATCCAGAGTTAAAAAAGTTGGATTTTGAATGATTATTTTAGATCAAAATCCACTTTTCTCACATATGTTTTTAGTTTATACTTATTTTCCCCTTTGACCATCCACTTAGGATTGTCAAGTACACACAAATCATTTGGAATCCAGAAATCATTGAATCAAATGAACTCAAGTCTTGGTAATTTCTCACACATACCATATTCATTTTTACTTATTATTAAAATTACCTGAACTCAAGTCTCAGGTAATTAGTTTGCTACAATTTTACTTATTATTAAAAAACATCCATTTTTTGTTATTACTATAATGTTTAAATACACATTTATGGGACACAACTGGTGAGACATGCTTAAATGTGGAAACCATACACCATTATTGTTGAGCCTACAGGACAATACTTCCCAATAATTACATTCGTTACTAATGTTAATTGGGAGGCTGAAAATCACAGGCTACTATCCTAACTATTTCAACTGTATGTACAAAATCCACTATTGGAGTTGAATCACAATTTGAAGGTGTACCCCTCATCTAATAATCCAAATATGAACATATCTATATAGAATTTCATATCTACAGTTTTCAACTAAACAATGAATCTTCTCTTGTAGGTCTTTAAGGAAAATCGCTACTAGGAGAATCCATCTCATCAACAAGCCAAGCCAACTTGAAAACTCAGCTCTGAAACTTCAATGTGTACCCTCAGCTAACAATGAAAATATGAACATACTATATAATATTTCATAACTAACATTTTCAATTAAACAATGATTCTTCTCTTGTAGGTCTTCAATAGAAATTGCTACTTGGAGAAAGCAGCTCATCAGGAACCACAAAACTAAAAACCGGCATACAGTTTGAACCATTGGTGCCTCCCCATATGCGGAAGATTCTCAATTCATATGGAGAGAGAGAGAGAGAGGAAGGAGAAAAAACAAAGTAGCCATCGTTTCATAAATTTTGCAAAGAAAGTATTACCTAATAGATGGGGGTAATTCTTGGAAACGAAAATTTGATCATGGATGAAAAGAAAAGGAGAGCATGAAACTGTGTGTGTGTGTGCGTACACCCTTTAACTTTGCAAAAAGCCACTTTAGACCCTAAAGAATTAAAATTCCACTTTTGCCCTCAAACTATGATGGAAAGGTCACTTTTATGGCAAAAAAAAAAAAAAAAACAAAAGATGGTGTTACAGTGCTGTCAATGGATCCGTTGGACAATGAATAAAATAATAAAAACATGCTTATGTGGGATTATTCAAGTTTGAAAAGGTCACTTTAGACCCTAAAGTTTGAAAAGGCTGCTTTATATGTTAAAAGATCTATTAGTTAGAAAATAAATTTTATTAACCTTGAAATAAAGTGCCTTAAGGATTTTACCAAAATAGAGTCATTAAATTAATAATAATTAATTAAATAGTAAATAATTAACAACAATTAAGAGTAAATTATTACTTAAACACTAACTTAATTAGCTTAGCTAATATGAAATTAACAATCACTTAATTAACTTAGTAACTCAATTTTCTTAATTAAACTAATTTACTTAGTTTCTTTAATTACTTTAACTACTTATTTTAATTTATTTAATTAACAATAACATAATTTACTTATTTGTCTTAATTATCTTTGATTATTTAATGACTCTATTTACTTAGCTTAATTTAGTTAATCAATTGGCTAATTCACTTAATTGGCTTAATTCAACTTACTTATTCAATTGCTTAATTTACATAGTTGGCTTAATTTGCTTATTTAGTGTAATTAGCTTAATTTCTTTAATTGATCTATTTGCGTAGCTTAATTTACTTAATCAATTAGGTAACTCACCTATTGCATGGTTATAAATTCATTGTTGACCCAGGTGGTCGAACTGTTCAAGCTAGGAACCAATCAATTGTCCAGTTCCTTTTTTATATTTGGCTTAGAATTTTCCAAAAATAAAAAAAAAACAAAACAAAAATGTTGACTTGGTCACTAAGATTTTGGAAGGTTTAACTACTAAACTTTTCAATTTGGTGAATGATTTTTAAAACCATGCTTAATTGCCTTAATTTACTTATTTAAATTGATTAACTTTGTTTATTTAATTTACTTATTCAATTGCTTAATTTACACAGTTGGATTAATTTAATTAATTATCTTAAATAGTATAATTTATTTAATTTACTTATTTAACTTTATACAATCATAGACCCTAAATAATTTACTTAATTAAATGCCATATACGCATGCTTTTATTATTTATTATATTCATTGTCTAACGGATCTATCAATGGTGTCTCTAATGTCATTTGTTTTTGCCTTAAAATGGCCTTTCCACTGACAGATACGTTCATGCACAGCTTCACGTAAGCTGACTAGAAATGTCATCTGTATTGTGATTTGTGGTGACTTCTCTGACCTGGACAAAGAAACTTATTTGTGCGATTGCATCTAAGTGTAATATATGTGTTTTGGTAACAGATCTGAACCACATTCAATGGGTCCCACAACCTAAATACCTTAGATAGTTAGATCAAGTTTTACTTTGTGGGGAACTAGAGACCAATACACCTGATTTCTTAGAAGATTGCATTTTATTAAGATAGACAATGGAACCAAAGTGATCTGAGTCATCTGACCCAATTACATAGGGTCAAGATCTACATTACACGTCTTGACAATGGTTGGATTAGTTTTGGTTTTGGGTTTTGATTTTATGTCCCTACTAGTATAGGGTTGGGATCATTTTTTTTTCCCGAATTGATAATAGGGTTAGAAAAAACAAACTACCATTTCAGACATGTAGAATTTGCTAGGGAATGGGGAAGTGTTTAAATCCTGTTTTACAAAATGCCATTGAACCCTTTCACATCCTGACAATTCAGACTGAATGTTTTCATTAAGTAAATGTTTCTATATGATTTGCAATTCCTATCCACAAAAGTAATTCAGAAGCCGCTACAGTCAGTTTCAAAGTTTCAATGCGAATTTGACTCAAATCAGGCGAAGATCATATAAGCGCCACTGAAGTACGTAAGGTTCAGCAAAAAATGGTGATCCAAGGCTGTCTGCTACAGAAAGGTTGCAAGAAACTCTTTGTTGATGTCCATGATCAATACAACATAACCAGCTCCAAATTCATCTAAAGTTACCGTCCATTTTGATTCAAGCAAAACATTCATGGGAACGAACTACTATGGATAGTGTCTTCTCCAACTTCACTTGGAAGAGCTTGGACCCTCGCAATTTGACTCACCACCTCACATTTCTTGCACGTCTGTCAGCATGTGCAAGAGAACCATAGTTACATTCCTATTTTTAACCAGTTGTCGTTTTATACGCACCATGCAGTAATAATGAATACCATGCAAATGTCGTAAACTTCCTCCTAAGAGACCTCTGGAAACAAGAATAATTGTCCAACTCCCTTTGAAAATTGAGAAAAAATGAGAGAGAGAGGAAAAAGCTTTTCTATTATGAGAAATATGCATTGAGATTTGATACATTAAACAAGCAGGCATTACTGCATATTAATTGGGTGTTGCGGTTTTTCTTGCAAATGGGATGCAGTAAGTTAAAGGTGAATTGGCCCTTCGTTCTAATCTTAGCAAAATATTTGATCTTCAGTGACCGAATAACTTTGACTGCATCATATTGCTTGCCTTCTCCAGCATCCCCTGTGGCCTTCTATCAAGACATAAGAATTCATTAGCAGGAAATATCATCTACAGAAAGCACAGGTAATATAATAGGAAAAATATAACAGAACAGGTACATTTACTTACTGTTGACAGATATACGAGGCCACCTTAACTTCTTCCAGGCAGTATATCCATTTCCATAAGCACTGACTACTAAAGCAGCTACAACTCTTTGTGGTTGGGGCACTGGGCTGTAGTTTCAGTACTGAAGTTTGTGTTAACAAATGGTCCATAAATCTCTTTTTTTTTTTTCCTGAAGACAATATAGTCTCTCAATCAGGAAAGACCATAAAGAACCTAGGGTTACGCATCATAACTGCTAACCCTCATTCTCTGAGACACTTTACAGATGCTATATACATGAGAAATTCTGTAAGGTAGCATGATAAATACTTCAAGTTATCCCAGTAATAACGCCAAGTAGACCAACTTTCAAATATAAAAATGGAAACGAAAATGACCCTCTCCAAACTATTTTGGGGATTATAATTCATCCTGCCTGTTTATTTTGCAAATAGTTGCATTGAAATGAGGGATTAACATTTTCTTTATTAGTTTGCATTGGAAAAAATTTTCATTCTCTAGGTTAATTTTAACAAGTAGAAGAAAAATATTAGACAGGATAATGTGAATGCATGTATAAATAACACTACTGTGATACAAGGATTTGAAAGAAATAACTTGGTATAACATCACTACTAAATTCTTAAAGATAACTATGCATACAAATTTTTACATGCTTCAAGTCAAACTTATGGACCTAAAGTCATCAGGGGCTAATCACATTTTTCTTTGGGATAAAAGCAAGAAAACTGGTGGCCATGTTCTTAATAATATTCCTTTGTATCACTTGGAATAACTCAAATTTGAATATGCTCTCTATTCTCTAAATAACTGTTTATCAATTAAGCTTCCTGCATATTGTTATGCTATTGTAGTTGAAGATGCTTCATGCTCTAACTAGGAAAGGCTGTAATTTTTCTAATTTAAGGATTTCACAGGAGTCCAGACAAAACAAGTTTACTTGACAATACCAAAAAGAGAAAAACAATAAAAAAAGAGAAGCAAGTATATCTTCAATTATGCACCCTGTAAGCACACAATAAAGGCAATATACAACAAATAAAATAAAGACAAAACAAGGGCATCTTCAACATGCACCCTACATATTAACTAAATAAGCATAGAAATTTCATTCTATATTTTACTAAGATATTCCATTCTCAAAATTGCACCAATAAAACACTCAACCTAAAGTTTCTACCTACTTGCTTAATTTATAACCTACCCTCATTTTCTTTGACACTTGTAAAGTTGTAATGGACCAATTCATCTCTGTATGTGTGTGTTCTCTGTGTGCATGGATGCTTGCAGGTTCATGTGCTTCCAGGTGATGGGTATTAGACCATTGAAATGATAAAAAAGATGAAGGCACACAAAACTAGAAAATCCCATAAATACAATGTAAATTGAACCAATATATCATTAACAAAGAATTATCTCCAAAAAAGCATGCATACTCAGCCATCCTTTTTTTGATCAATACATACTCAGCCATCCTCTTAAACAAGTCCGAGGTAGTAGAGCCTAACACCCAGCAGCTGCAGCATTTTGGTGATGAAGTTTCTCATCTCCCAATGATTTGACAAAGCTAGATAAAACATCCATGTCATTACAAGTATCTCTCTCAGATAACCATTCCTCCTCAAGATGAACATCAACATCCCTGTCTCATGGTTAATCATGGATTCTGATTACCAATTGCACATTAAAAAGTTGTAGTGTCAATTATACAGAGAAAATCCTTACCTCCTAAAGCTAAGAATTTGATAATTTCTTCGCAGGTAATCAGCATTCTTAGTAAGAGCATCTTGTGCATATTGTTTTCCCACAGTTCTAACTGCAGCTGCATTTAGTAAATTTTCTAATGAACCATGCTTCTTTAAGAGCTTCAGGGCCGTCTTTCGACCAAAACCAGGAGCTACATGTTGAATTCCAGGAACACCATCTACTTCATCACCAATAATGCATCCTACAGATTTTCAGTTTCACTCAGAATAGTAAACTAGAAATATAATTTATGCTTAAACCAATGAATCTTATGGGCACTTCTGGTAAGTTGTAAACATGATCTACAAGTTCTTTTTCCTGTGTCAGATTGCAACCATATTAAATTGCAGAAAGCAATAGCACTTCGTTTTGACTTTTGACTAAGTTCAAAAATAGTGAAAGCAATACATAGAAATTTTGTATCTTCAGTTCAGTAAGTGAAATTGACCTGTTGTACTGTATTTTCCTTCCGTATTTATTTTCTTCTTTAGTCCTGTAAGTACTTCTCTGTAAATATCTAATATTTCATATATATAATGGCTGGCTCTTTGATGGGGATCGGTCTATGCATTATAAGGCCTATTCTCGTAAGAATAAGGCCAACAAACAGGTTCTGATTTGGCATGGAGAAGACTCTTGGGACATGGACTGATCTGGTCAGGGGTATTTTCGTCATTTTGACCAGCCCAATGTGGACTTGGGCTATAGCATCTTGTTCCTATAGCTTAGTAGTGCTTGTCTTTCAATTTTCAGTTTATTTTCATTAGTAGATAGAAAGTTATTGTGCTTCTTGTTGCACAAGACAGAGTGACTTTTTGTAATTATGGTGAACAGTGTTCCGGGCCACACAAGTCACTCTATAAATAGATGTATTCTCTTCCTTTTGAGGCGAATGAATGAATGAAGATTTCTTAAGAGCTCTCTTGCTGTATGGAGCGATTCCTACAAACCCTAGAGTGATTCTAGGACCCCTTGGAGTGATTCCTTGGGATTTCTCTCTCTTTTCTCTTTTCTCTTTCTCTACCCTTTCTCCTCTCTCTTTCTGTCTTGTGTTAGTTTGTTCCAGCCCTACTGCATCACTCTTGGGGTGGAGTCGATTGATTTTGTTTCACACCCCAGAACTGTGTTCTATTCTCTTGTAAGAACTGGTTGTATGACATGGTATCAGAGCAAGGTTTCATTCTTGGTTGTTAAGACTGTTATTTGAGTGTTCAAATTGGCCTGTTGGAGTTACTAAAGGCTTCTCTTTGGGACTGTTTCGGTCAGTACAAGGTGTACTGCGTTTTCTGGGAAAAATGCTCTCCGAATCAGTGTTCTTGCTTTCTCTCTTGATTGACTTATCTGTTGGGGCTGAGATTTTGCATCTTGGGTCACCCTAACCTCTTTGTTACACCTGTAAAATCTCGTGAAGATTGGATTTTTCCTGAGTTCTGGTCTAAACAAGAGGGCTCACTTTTTTGGGATAAAAAAAACGCATACCGGGTGAGTTTTTTTGTGTTTTCTTCCATTTGGTTGTTGTGTTCAGCCTTGTATTCTAAAGTTTGTGTCGCCCTGACCTACTTTAGATGTTCCATTGATTAGTTTGAAGATTTACTTCGTTCTAGAAGGGTTTTGATCCCTTCTTTGGCTCAGCAGGCCTGCAAACTTCCATTTTGTTGGACTGTCAGTCCTAAAACCTAGTTGTTTGGATTATTATTTTCGACAATCACTTTTATTTGGCTATTGAACACTTTTTCTAGTGTTTAGAAGGCTTTCTAATCAGCTTTACTCAAAGAACAGCTTATCGGTGCTTCTACTCGGACTTGAACTCATTCCTATTGTCGTTCTGGACTGGAAATTATTGACCTAAAAGGCTGATAAGGTTGATGTCATACCTGTGAAGTTTGATGGAACTAACTACAGAATGTGGAAGTTCCATTTTGATTTCTTTGTTGAGGGAAAGGGTCTGGAAGGTTATCTGGATGGTACAATTACCGGGCCGGATGAAGCTTGTTAAGAGTCAACAGCACAGGGGTATTTTGGTCTTTTGGTTTATCTTGTTAGAAGTGAAAGGTCTGTTTTATTCAAGTTTATGTGCCCCATCACTTGTAAGGGACAATACTGTCTTTTTTGTACCTCAACTTATTCATTATAAATACAAAGTGGGTCGGCTAGAGGGGTGACTTTTTCCTCTACTGCCGAGACCTTCTCCTCTTTCTCTTCTTCTTCTTCTTCTTCTTCTTCTTCTCCTTCTTCGCCGCCAGCCATATCAGTTTTTTATTAAATATCTTCTAGACAGATTGGAAGTTTGACAAGGGGCCTAAAAGGAGTGGTCGTTTTTTGTTCTTGGAGGTAAATATGCCTCCAGTTTCTGTGGTGGTGATCGTTGTAGTGGTGTACTAGATTCCCTCTATTCTATGATACGAAGAGGGCTGGTTGTGGACAGGTATGAAAAGAAATATTTATTCGCCCAGTAGTGGACTGCGGCTGCTATCTTTTGTCTAGGTTTCATTCATGTGGTGGTGTGAATCGATAGGTATGCATATAAGCCTCTTTTACTTCTGTTTATACCTGGATATGTGAGTTGAAAGTAGGGTTTTTTGAATGCTGAATTCATGACAGCAGTAGTATGGTCATAATTATATTCTGTTGAGTAGTCTGTGGCGTGGTGCTGAATAGTTGAAGGTGAATACTTTGTTTATAACAGTGATTCCTTTGTGAAGTGAGATGAATTAGTTATGATGGCATCAACTGGAGATGGGAATGACAATAAAACAGTGTTATGATTTCTCCAAATTACCTAATTCAAATGACATCTATTAAGTTGAATGGTGAGAATTATGTGCCATGGGCCAAATCTGTGGAGGTGTTTTTAAAAGCCAAGAAAAAGGCAAAACATGTGAGAGAGGAGAAACCCTCCTCTAATTCTCTAGGGTTCAGTGATTGGAAACAGGAGGATGCACAAATCATGACTTGGTTGTGGAATAGCATGGAACCTAAAATCAGTGTGAATTTTATGTTCCAAGATTCAGCTAAAGAAATCTGGGACCATGCTAAGAAACTTTACTCCGGCCAAGATAATACTACTAGGGTATATCAGCTGTACCAAGAGTACTTTAATTTGAAGCATGGTAACCAAAGCTTGGAGGAATACTATGCAAGCATGAGAAAAATCCGAAATGAGCTTAATGTATATCATCCTCCGACTCCGGATGTTTAGGTTCAGCAACAACAGCGAGAGCAACTTGATGTGACAAGGTTCCTAGTGGGTCTGAAGGCTGAATATGAACCTATTCGAGCACAAATACTGGGGGGGGGGGGTCTGCTCTTCTCTCACTTGAAGAAGTGTTTGCTCGTCTTCGGAGGATATCTATTGAGTCTATAGAGTCTTCTTCTCTCTCGGGCAGATCTGGTTTTGTGGTGACTAGAGGGGGAGGTCATGGAAATAGAGGTGGTGGCCATGGGTTTCCAGGAAACCAAGGTAGTCCTATGTTTAATCGTTCTGGTGGCTGCAATGGTGGTCGAGATTTAGGGGGAGGTCGTGGTAGAGGAAGAAGTAATGCACCTAGAAAATGCACATATTGTGGATTAGAGGGGCACACTGTTAATTTCTGCTATGATTTACATGGTCCACCCAACACTTGGGCTAACCATGCTGTGACTAGTGGCAGTGGTACAGTTAGTGAAAATCAGCAAACTGATCAGACTCCCTCCACATCTACTGATGCTTCTGGGAAGGAGATGGTGAGTGTACCACGTGAGGTATATGAGAAGTTCCTTCAGACATCCTCTCAACAGAGCACAACTACTCTTGCCCATTCAAGTATGGCTTGCTTGGCTTCCAAACCTTCACACTGGATCATTGACTCTGGAGCCTCGGATCATATGTTTGGGACTCCAAATGTATTTTCTTCACTTTCTCAGTCTTCCACATCCCAAACAGTTACCCTTGCTAATGGTTCTACATCTCCCATTTGTGGTGTTGGTGATGTTGATCTTACCTCCTTATTTTTATCATTTGTTTCATATGTTCCCAAGTTCCCGTTTAACTTTATGTCTATTAGTAGATTAACCAAATCACTTAATTGTTCTATAACCTTTTGTCCCTCTTCTTGAGGCAGGTGGATTGTATTACCTTGATGGTGGTGGCCCGCCAGTAGCATTTTAGTTGTCTCTTACTCCTCTACAATGGCATTGCAGACTTGGTCATCCATCTCTCAAGGCTCTAAAGTTGCTGGTTCTGTCCTTAAGTCATCTTTCATCGTTGGATTGTGAGTCGTGCCAGCTTGGGAAATACCACAGGGTCTTTTAGTCCAAGAGTTGATAGCCATGTCTTGAGTCCTTTTTCTTTAGTTCATTCTGATGTTTGGGATCCAAATAAAGTAGTGTCATACAATGGTTATAAGTATTTTGTAATTTTTGTTGATGACTTTTCAAGGATGACATGGCTCTATTTTATGAAAGATTGCAGTGAATTGTTCTCTATTTTTCAAAAAATTTATGCTGAAATACGTACCCAATTTGGAGTTCAGATTAAAATTCTTCGCTCCGATAATGCAAAAGAGTACACCTCAACACCATTTCAACAATACTTAGAGCACCATGGGATAATTCATCAAACTTCTTGTTCCTACACCCCACAATAGAACAGTGTGGCTGAACGGAAAAATTGACATCTACTTGAAACTGCGCGATCCAATATGCTTAATATGAATGTTCCAAAGTGTTTTTAGAGTGATGTTGTCCTAACATCATGTTTCCTCATCAATCGAATGCCCATGTCTATCCTTGGAAGTCAATCCCCTTTCTTAGTCTTGTTTCCCACTCTGTCTCCGTTTCCTCTTATCCCAAGAGTCTTTGGGTGTGTTTGTTTTGTTCAAAATTTGGGGCCTGGTTTAGACAAGTTAGATGCACGTGCTACTAAATGCATCTTCCTTGGATACTCCCCAGGACTCAAAAAGGGTATAAGTGCTATAACCCTAACTCTCATAAGTCATTTGTGTGTTTGGATGTCACTTTCTTTGAATCAGTCCCATTTTTCTCGAGTACTGAGGTCCCTTCTCCTTCCCTCGTGGTTCCCCTTCCTGTTCCAGTTGAGGACCCCCTCTCCGTGGTTCCTGCTCTAATTGCGGATCCCCCTCCTGTGGTTCTTGTTCGTTCTCCTTCCTCTCCCGTGCAGGTTACTACTAAGCGGCCACCAATCCGACAAGTGTATACTCACAA